TGAAGGCCTCTGTCACCACAGGGGAGACAGCTCACAAAATGGCCGCCGTCCTACTTGCAGGGAGAAGGCTGCTGTCATGCCAGGGGAGGCAGCTCACAAATGGCGGCTCTCTCTGGAATAAATAGCACTGAACAGATCCCCCCCAAGGGGCCTGCAGCAATGTTCCTCCCTTTGAAGGGGCTACACGTCAAAGCAATTGCTCCCTTGAATCAACCAAAGCCTTGGGGAATAAACTGTCCTTCGCGTGGTGCTCAAAATGGCGGCCGTGCCAAAATTAACGGCCCGTTCGAGCCGACAGGACCTCTTAGGTCCTGAGGGGAAATCAGCCTGGACCTGCAATGTTTGCTGCCGCTCAGAAATTCTGGCCGACACTCTCACAATGTCAAAGTCAGTTCGGCCAAATTATCAGCGTGGTCTGTAATCTGACGCTAGCTGTCAAGGCCAGAGCGAGCAGGCAAGCGGCTGGGGTTGCGTCATGCCAGGGAAAGCCCGACCGAGCTATGACGAGGCTTTTTGGCATCTGGATCAGCTGGGGGTCGCTCGCTGATGGCGGAACGACCCACGTCGAGGGGAGAGCCCTCCCCGGTAGCCGAAATCGTCAGGGGAAGCCTGTTATGAGCTGGTAACTTCCACCTGATATTTGAATTATTTTGGAATAATTTGGAATGGGTCCGGAAATAAAAGGAAATTTTTGTAACTCACAGTGATGATAGAGAATCCACGAGAAATTTTGACCTAGCTGCTAAGTCTAGAGGAGCCAAAAATAAAGCGTCCTGCTGAGCGAAGACTAAGTCGTAAACTGGGTCAGTCTTGCCCAGCAGGAGGCGTGGCAACTTTCTAGACTTAGTTTCATCTGAGCAGGAAGAATAAGACAACCCACTCGTGGATTCTCCATTCATCATGCTGGAGAAACACAAAATTTCTTGGATTTTTATTTAAAGCAGGGGTGTCAAACTTGCAACATCATGTGACGTGTCGCAAAGTGTCACAACTTTTTTTCCATTGCCGGCAATGGTGTGGGTGCAGTTTCAGCATGACGTATCCGGCCTGTGGGCTGGCAGTTTGACACCCCTGATTTAAAACATCCTGAGTTTTCTCAAGGCTTCTGCACAAACCTGAAAAAGAGATGCCACATCTTTAAGGAATCTATTCTTAATGGATTTTTTATAGGCTGAAAAAATGATGCAATTGTTCAAACACAATTGCATATTTTTTCAGCCTATAAAAAGTCAGGGTTCTTCAACAATAGAAATATTGAAGTAACACAAAGACTGAAGCAATTTTTCAAATAATTTTCAAGGCCTATCCAGGCCTGGAAACACCTTCCTTACTTTACTCATTTAAATGCATTGATTACAATTTGCTTTATTTTAATGAGGGATAACCCACCACTACTCCATCTCCACAGAACTTTTTCTTTTGCTTCAATGTGCATTCCTTTCTTCCTTTCTTTTTTCCACACTTCCATGCTGGATGAGATGTTTAAAATAATTCTAAACACTCTAGCTAAGATCTAATAAAAATAAATAGAAAATGATCAGAAGCATAATCCTGCCACATACCAATGTTTTACTTCTTTAGTTTACTTTGTTTATGGAATATTCATAAAATATATTAAAAAGATTTACCTGTTATCTGGAGACTGCAAGTACATAGCACTTGAGGACAAAAAAACCCCCAAAACAGTCTTGGCAGCTATTTCTGAGGAAATGCCACAGTAGTTTTCTTTTTTCATTATAAACACTGCTATTAAAAATTGTAAAAACATTGATCTACAACCATGAACCCCCTCAGAATCCAAATCAACCACACAGTCAACCAGAGATAGCACCAACCCTCAAGCAACCCATGGAAGCCCCTTCCCCCCCCAGCAGCTCACCTTCCAGTGTCTCTGACCTGATGTAACTTCACTATCATAAGACTCTGATAACTCACACCATCCATCACAAGACCCTCAGTTGACACACCCACACCTGAAGCCCTTATAAACAGAACAGCACTGACACAGACATCCCCTAAATGATGCTGAAGATGTTACTTAGCCTGGTAATGAAACATTTGGAAACCAACCCACAAGCTCAGAGAAAGAACCTTCACCCTCATTGTAAATTCCACTAAGGAACTTTGAATAATTCAAAGTTTTTTTTAGTTATGCAATTCTAATAAAGTAATATTTTTCCCCTTGGAAAAAAAAAAGAACGGCATAAGAACTATTTTTCAGTTGCTTTGATCACACAGTACAAACATAGGATCTGACAATTTATGTTGAATACGGGCATCCAGATTTAAAATAATAAAACTATTCTATACTCTTCTAGTCTAATTCTGAAAAGATAAGTAGGTTGATACTGCCTCATAAAATTTCAGAAGTATTACTGTATATAAGTAATGTATGTTGTACTTAAGGATTTTTAGTGACTAAAACATATGTTTCTGTATCTAGCACAAACAAAATTACACAGTTTTTCAACATGAGATCTTAGTAATATGAAAATCATAAGAACTGAAGACAAAAAGAAAATGCTGATAGCCTACAAGAAATGAATAACTCATACAAAATTGTTCTAATATCAAAATATAGCAATTTATTCAAGACACTGAACATGATCTCTTGATTTTCTTCTTGAACAAATGAATTACAACACACAGGATGATTTGCTGAAAGAAAGTGAGCGCAGTTTGTGTGTGTGTGTGTGTGTGTGTGTGTCCGTGTAAGAGGGGATGGGTATAGAGAGAAAATGGGCAAGGGGAGATGTTTGAATAGAATCTGTGAAATGCTGAAATGAGAACCAAGCCTGGCTTCAAGTCTGACACAGACAATAACACTTCAGAAGCCAAAATTTAGACTATCAGTGAATGGATGAAAATATAATTTGGAGAGGAAAGAAAGAAGGAAAGAAAGAAAAACAAGGAAAAGAAAACTCTAAAAATGAAAAAAGTGCACATCACTCAGGCCCAAAATTACATAGTTTGTTTTAAAATAAAAAAAAAATAAAAATGCAATTTCTTATATTAAGAAAAAATCTTTGTGGAACTCTAGAAATATTAGGCATTTTGATGTGTGCCATTGTGCCCACAGTAAAAAAATGACAAATGACAATAAAGGTTATTTTGATTCCCCATACAGGAACCCTGTTTACCATATTAAAGATGTAGTATCCCATTAGTTCACATGTATCTCAATTAAGTCTAAATTCAAATAGAATGTCCAGAATTTTATTCCAGAATTGGTTATGGGGAGGATGTAATAATGTTTTATCATTTTTATATTACAATACATGTAGTCCTCTACTTACAATCATTTATTTAGCAACCGTTCAAAGTTACAATGGCACTGAAAAAAGTAACTTACTTCCTTGCACTTACAACTATCACAGCATCCCTACTTCAGCCGCTTGGCAACTGGCATGTAGGATTGCAGTGTCTCGGGGTCAGCTGTCTTCTGACAAGCAAAGTCAATGGAGAAAGACAGATTCACTTAATGGCCATATGACTTACTTAACAACTGCAATGTTTCACTTAACAACTGTGGCAAAATATATTATTAGGCACAACTTACTTAACAATCGTCTTGCTTCACAATGGAAATTCTAGTCCCAATTGTGATTGTAGTTTATTTATTATATTTATATGCCTCACTATCCAGTTATTGTTGATTTGAGGCTAGATTTAAAGTATTGTCTTAAACAGTAATATTATCCATGTCTAATTAGAAGTGAATTTCATTGAGTTTAATGCACTCAAGCCTAATATCTTGGGGTGAAATACTATTTGAAAAATAAAAATAAAAATCATGAAATCTGTTCTATCTGTCAAATATCTCTAGTATAATTTGTAAATAAATAGTATTTCAATACAATATGAAATGTTAAGATTAATTCTTTCATAATTTTAAGTAAAGTCAAAATTATATTTAAAAGCAGAATTACGGTACACCAATGGTAATATTTTTCCTTTAAAAAGTCATGATTTTTTTAAAAAAAATAATTCAAACTATGTTTTGAAGTTTATAATTCTGAAATTATGTTTTAATATTCTGTCAAGTTATAACATCTGCTAATGAATTTATGCCATGGAATATTTTACCACTTGCATGATTAATTTAAAGAATCTTTTAAAAATAAGTATAGGCAAAACTGTTCTTTAGCAAACTGCCTTTCATGAAGCTTAAAAAAGATACTGCACCTTTAAATAGGGATTCATCTGAATTGTTCTTTAAAATGATGGAACACAATGCAATCCACGTCTGTTAGATATTTTAAGTTTCTAAAATTGTATTTTAACATGAAAATACCAAGACTTTTATTTCTTATTCCAAAAATACACAGGGTTGTTTCTTTTTTAAAAAAGTAATATTTCTTCTGTAAAAAGCTTTCCCGGCACCTAAAGCACTTAATACACAATTTATTGAAAGTGCCCTTCAGATTTCAAGATCTGAAGCATGGAAACATTTAAAGAAGTAGCAGAATTAGAGGATAAAGAAAAGAGGAAAAGATGGGGGGGGGGAAGAGAAGAAAAGGAAAACAGAAGCAGTCACTAATGATGCCCATCTGCCTTCTGCATTAACTAGGCACAAATGGAAAGGACAAAGCAAAAAGTTGGTGAAGAGAAAAAGAAAGAAAGAAAGAAAGAAAGAAAGAAAGAAAGAAAGAAAGAAAGAAAGAAAGAAAGAAAGAAAGAAAGAAAAAGACATTCAGTTTGAACCTATGCCTGTTATTGTCAAGGCTGTAACATTCCAGCTGATAAGAAAAAAAATCACTGAACAAATAACAGTAATCTAGAAAATACAAAGTGTTGGGATTACAAATTTGAATGTATCGCCAATACAAACTGGTTTTTGAATGTCCTTTGGGAGAGCACTTGTAGTGTCCAAACTAGAAAGAAAAACAATGCAATACCATATAGAGAAGATTTTTTCCCCATTTTGGTTTATCAAAGCATTTTGCTTCATAGATTTTGTTTTCCTTTTAATTGTTATTGGTTTTGGCACAGCTTTTCTTCTTCTTTTTAGCAGCTGTCAAAATGAGATCTCAGCGATTTGACCCCAGCAAACAGCAGATTTAGCTGTTGATGGTCACCTTCTTGCTTGCCTCCAAAGGCTGTAGGTTCATAGTGGACAAATCCCGCCTCCCTAAGTGATTCTGTTTTAAAACCTTGGTGAAGGTTGATGGACAAAACATTGCAAGCTTCTTTTGCCTGGGAGAAATGCATTATTTGTTTAGTTCTGCTTCTGTTTGTTTCCCCCAGTTTTTGCCATTCTAGAGATGTTAAAAGTATGTTCGAAGAGTGCTTCTACCTCCACACTGAATGCTGGTTCATTTGCAGTTTCTTCTAAAATATTTACTTTCGCAGGTCTAGAACACACACCTGGAACACAGAAAAAGGGTATTATGCACCAAATAAACTGTTAATAACTTTTGATATTTCTATTGTATTGTATCTATCAGAATAATGAACAAGAGCATACTTGCATTTTTATAAAATGTTCACAATCACTCAGTTTTAAATTCTAACTATTGCAAAGACTCAGATGAAAGAAAGGCTAGCTGAAGAGTAAGGATTGGCTAAAATCAAATCCTTACTCAAATTTTGCAATGGTGCAAAAGCATACAATGAAAACAAGAAATATCTTTATTTGAACTTGGCCATTATAGGTAGCTCTTGACATATGATTGGTACCTTAACAACTGTTCAAAATTAAGATGGCCTTGGAATAGTGCTTTATAGTCTGTAAAACACTTCCATTCATCACAAAATACTGCTTACCACGGATTGTCAAGCATCCCATAATCATGTGATTGCCATTTGCAATCTTCCCTTTCCTAGAAAGTCAATGCTTTCCACTTGGGTTTTAGCAGTGAGAATTTTCAACACCAGAAGTGAGACTTATGCGCGAGCTACACTAGGCTTTTCAAGCCTTGCCCAGAGCCATACTTTACTGCTGCCTCCCTGCTCTGGCACTGAAAATCCTTCCTACCAAAATCCAAGCATACTAAACTTCTACACATTTGACTGCTTAGCAATGATGGGAATTTGCTGGAATAAGGAGCCTCATCTCCCAGCAAAGAAACAGTTTGGGGTGGGTTGCTTTTTCCAAAACTTAGGCACTGATGCTGCATGGTGCAAAGCCCCCCACATGTGCTCTAGCCTGGTCAGCAGGAAATGCATGGCAGAACAAGAGGGAGCCCAAGAGTAAAAGTGACAAAGTGTGCTCCCTCTCCCTTCCTTTTCTCTCCTCCTTCCTCACTCTCACTTTCTGTTGCTGTTGACAAATACCCCCAGCTGCACACTTCCCAGAAAAGAAAAAAATATCTGGCCAAAAGAACCAATTTCCCCTCCCTACCCAACCAGACACTCCTGAGAGAAAAGTTTAATACAAACTTTCCCAAAAGCCTACACAACCAGGAGCCCTATCTCCAGGATTTAAACCTCAGGCCTTTCCCCCGTCTTTTCAAAGCAAAGAATTATTGGCTATCTATTAATGTTGGGGACACCTGTTCCACATTTAATGGTTCTATTTAGGCTGAGATTTGTGGTTTCTTGTTTCCTCAGCTTCAGAACTAAATTTTACTCCCAACATATCTGAATAAATTGGTCTGGATTATGCCTTTTAGCAGAGATCACTAATGCATCATAGGAAGAAATACTTGCAGTGTTGAAATGCACTGATTTATGGATAACTAAAAAAACACCCAAAACTGAAGAAACCATACCGATCCATCTGAAGCACTGGCTCCCACTTTGTTTCCTCTAGCATTCCAGCAGACTTCAAATATTCCACCAGTGCCTCTGTAGCTATGTACTAGAGTCCCACTCTATGAATAAATAGAACACCTTCATTCAGGGGACACATGTACACCATTTTGTTTGTAATTTCAATACTGATATCATAACACATACATTTCTGCAAATAATGCTTGCATTAGTTTTGCCTATAGATTATGGAGCAATAACTTGATCATTTGCATTTGCATATCCATGTTCCAAATGGATAACTATATCTTTATGCCATTAATCTTTTGAAAAGGTTGGACTGTTTTTTTTCTTTTGTGTAAAGACAGATGCAAAAAAGTGAGTTAAGCAGTTCTGCTTTTTCCCTGTTGCTCGTCACCTTGTTACCATTTTCTCCCATTAATGGACCAATTGTTTCCTTGACTTTTTTTCTTGTTTTTTACATGCTGAAAGAAACTTTTTTTTTGTTATTTTTTACTTTTGTTGCAAGCCTTAGCTCAATTTGAGCCTTAGCTTTCCTGTCTTCATCTTTGCAGGCTGGGGCTATTTGCTAATATTGTGCCTTAATTATGTGCCCCTCTTTCCACTTTTTATACTTGTTCTTTTTGTCTTTCAATTCATCAGAGTTCTTTGTGCAGCTGGTTTCTTTTGAGAGCTGTTATTTTTCTTCTTATACTGGGCTTTTATAATCTCACTTTTCAAAATTCCCCAAGCTTCTTGGATTGTTTTCCCCTTGAGGATTCTCATCCATGGACTCTTCCCAAGTTCTCTTTAAGTTAATTGAAATCAGCTCTCTTAAACTTCAAAACTCTAGTTTGACTTTGTTCTATTGCTTGGGCTTGCATAATATTGCGTTCCAATATTGCATGATCACTCGTCCCCAAGGTTCCTATAACTTCAACACCTTCTATAATTTCATCTGTTAGTGAGAATTAAGTCTATTATGGCTGACCCCCTAGTTCCCTTCTCTATTTTTTGGGAGACAAAGTTGTCTGCTAGTTTGTCAGGAAATTGTTTGATCTTCCACTTGGTGCAGTTTGTCTCCCTGTTTATGTCGAGGTAGTTTAAGTCTCCCATTATTGTTGTGATGTACTTCCTACATACCTTAGTTAACTGACTAGCAAAAAGTTCATCTATTTTTTCTATTTGGTTGGGTGACATATAGTATACACCTATGGCAGTGTCATTTTCTCTCCTTTTATGTTGACTCAAATGCATTCAAGACATTTTTCATCATTATCTTGATAACACAGATATTTGTTAACTATTAACTTACTATACAAGGTACTTGGCCCTTAACGTGATGGCCCGTTGCCTGGAGGCCGTACGGGTCTGGATGGGGAGAAACAGACTCAGGCTCAACCCTTCCAAGACCGAGTGGCTGTGGTTGCCGGCGCCTCGGCATAGTCAGCTGACGCCATCGCTGACTATAGGGGGCGAAACCCTGGCCCCCTCAGAGAGGGCGCGCAACTTGGGAGTCCTCCTGGATC